TTGAGGCTAATGTCCTCAATATCTGACTCCAATAAATAATATCCCGTTAACCGAGTATTTAATGCAGGCTAAATCTCCTGGTAGAATTATACATTCACTCGAGATTATTCAAAAGCCTGAACATCAGTTGTAGTGATAATTCATTGTTAATGATTAATAAAAATCCGCAAGCGTACAGCAAGCAAGCACACGGTAAAGCCAAGTAAAAATGATGCGCAGTGGAGATGGCTGGTAAGCCAACTCATTTTTAATCAAGCGTTACTCAATATTTATATTCCGACAAAAATAAGCTACAGACATGTAATGAGTCATGTGATATGATGTGTACACACATATACGCTCATATAAAAACAGTGAAGAGTGATAGGCTAATAATTAACAAGGTCAGCATATGACCCAAGTAGAATGAATAGAATGGGATGTCCGAAAGCTGGAATAAAGTACATGGGCTTAGCATAATAACTGACACTACGTAGCCCCCTTGTAGAAAATAGCACATATAAAAAATGTCTGTTTTCGAAAATAACACTGAAGTGATATGAAGTTAACTCCGCCTGTAGCTCTTCTAGAGTTACTGCCGGCCTCAAGCCCGGGTAAAGGAGGAGGGTTGGGCATGGGGTTAGCGTCCCCATTCCGTAGAAAACTAACTCGCTAAAAAAACGCTTACCAGAAAAAATAATTGAAACCATTTTAACTCTGCCCTGGGAGTTAGAAGGTCTTCATTTAGAAGAATTATGACGCTTCATGGTGAAAGCCGAGTTCCTTCGGAAGCCACGAGGCCGATGCCTCTTCTAACAGCCAGAGCAAAAAATTTTTTAGGTACATGGAACGTGCGAACAATGTGGGAGACCGAGAAGGCCAGTCAAATACAACGGAAATGAGGAGATACAAGTTGGCAGTACTGGGGAAGCGAAACCCACTGGACCCAGGCTGGACGGAAAAGGCTAGCTACGGGAGAGATGTTGCTATACTCCGGTCACGAAGAGGAAAATGCTCCACACACTCAGGGAGTCGCCCTGATGCTGTCCAAAAGGATGGGAATCTCACGGATCCAGAATCATCAAAGCACCATTCAAAACAAAGAATGAGGGGATCACAATGAATATTATCCAATGTTATGCACCCACCAATGATAGCAACGACGACGTTAAAGATCAATTCTACGAGCGGCTGCAGTCAATCATAGAGAAGTGACCAAGAAAGGACCTCACCATTCTGATGGGAGATCTAAATGCCAAAGTCGGAATAGACAACACTGGATATGAAGATATTATGGGACGACATGGACTGGGAGAAAGAAACGAAAATGGAGAAAGATTTGCAAATCTATGTGCATTCAACAAATTGGTCATAGGAGGCACAATATTTCCACACAAGCGTATACACAAGGCTACATTGATCTCACCGGACCACACTACAGAGAACCAGATAGATCATATTTGCATCAACAAAAAGTTCAGAAGGACAATGGAAGATGTGAGAACCAGGAGAGGTGCTGACATAGCTTCAGATCACCACCTAGTTGTAACCAATTTAAAACCTAAGCTAAAGAAGAACTGAACAACTGGACAAACAGCATTACAAAGTTTCAATACAGCCTTCCTTCGAGATACTGACAGACTCAATGAATTCAAGATAGCTCTCAACAACAGGTTCCAAGCCTTACAAGATCTACTGAAGGAAGAAGAAACTACTATGGAGGACAACTGGAAAGACATCAAAGAAGCATTAACTTCAACGTGTCAAGAGGTTCTCGGTTTAAAGAAATACCACCATAAGGAATGGATCTCTATAGAAACTCTGGACAAGATCAAAGAAAGGAAGAACAAGAAGGCATCAATAAACAACAGCCGAACACGAGCAGAGAAAGTCCAAGCACAAGCTGAATACATAGAAGCAAACAAACAAGTGAAGAGGAGCATTAGAGCCGACAAGAAGAAACACGTGGAAGAACTAGCAACGACGGCAGAAAAAGCTGCAAGAGAAGGAAATATGAAACAGCTTTACGATACAACGAAGAAACTATCAGGGAAATACAGTAAACCAGAGAGGCCGGTCAAAGACAAAGAAGGCAAGCCAATCACCGAAATTCAACAACAGCGTAACAGATGGGTAGAATACTTTGAGGAACTCCTGAATAGGCCGGCTCCAATGAATCCACCAGACATCGAAGCAGCACACACAGATCTTCCTATAGACGTCAACCCATCAACGACGGAAGAAATCAGAATGGCCATCAGACAAATGAAGAACGGTAAAGCAGCACGACCCGACAACATACCAGCTGAAGCACTGAAGTCTGATGTCGAAGTAACCACAAGCATGCTTTACCTTCTATTCAAGAAGATTTGGGAGGAGGAACAAGTGCTGATGGACTGGAAAGGAGGACACTTCGTCAAGATTCCAAAGAAAGGAGACCTGAGCAAGTGTGAAAACTACAGAAGCATAACACTACTGTCAATACCTAGGAAAGTCTTCAACAGTGTTGCTGAACCGGATGAAGGATGCAGTAGACGCCCAACTTCGAGATCAACAAGCTGTATTCCGTAAGGATCGGTCGTGTACAGACCAAATCGCAACACTACAGATTATCGTCGAACAATCATTTGAGTGGAACTTGTCACTATACATCAACTTCATTGATTATGAAAAGGCATTTGACAGTGTGGATAGGAGGACGTTATGGAAACTTCTTCGACACTACGGAGTTCCTGAGAAGATTGTCAATATTATCCGGAACTCATACGACGGACTACAATGCAAAGTAGTGCATGGAGGACAGCTGACAGATGCATTCGAAGTAAGGACCGGAGTCAGACAAGGCTGTCTACTCTCCCCCTTCCTCTTTCTTCTGGTGGTCGACTGGATTATGAAGACCTCGACATCTGAAGGAAAACACGGAATACAATGGACAGCTCAGAATCAATTAGACGGTTTGGATTTCGCAGATGACCTAGCCCTTCTATCGCATACACACGAACAGATGCAGAAGAAGACAGCCAGTGTAGTAGCAGTCTCTGCATCAGTAGGCCTCAGTATACAAAAAGGGAAAACTAAGGTCCCCAAATTCAAAACGGAGAACAGCAATCCAATCATTCTTGATGGCGAAACTCTGGAGAATGTAGAATCCTTCACATACCTTGGAGGCATCATCGATGAACTAGGAGGTTCAGATGCTGACGTAAAGTCAAGGATTGGCAAAGCAAGGACAGCATTCCTACATTTGAAGAACATATGGAACTCAAAACAACTTTCAACCAATATCAAAGTGAAAATCTTCAATACGAACGTCAAGGCAGTTCTACTGTATGGAGCTGAAACTTGGAGAACTACAACAACCACCATCATCAAACATGTACAAGTATTTATAAATAGCTGTCTACTCAAGATACTCAATATCCATTGGCCGGATACCATCAGCAACAGACTTTTGTAGGAGAGAACAAACCAACTTCCAGCTGAAGAAGAAATTAGGAAAAGACGATGGAAATGGATAGGACATATAGTACGCAAATCATCAAACTGCATCACGAGGCAAGCCCTAACTTGGAATCCTGACGGGAAGTGGAAAAGAGGGAGGCCAAAGAACACATAACGACGGATAATAGAAGCAGATATGAAAAGGATGAATAGGAACTGGAAGGGGCTGGAAAGGATTGCCCAGGACAGGGTTGGATTGAGAATGCTGGAGAGCAGCCTATGCTACTTCACGAGGAGTAACAGGCGTAGGTAATTTGACGGTGACAGAACACTGCCATCAGTGTTTAATTGTGTTTGGTGAATTACCGATACACTACCTCCACACCTAAATATTTTATGTTGCTTAAACCTTGTGGTGTCTGTACGAAGTAATAATTCTATTGTGTTTGATTACCCGCCTATTTGGAATTTTAAGTATAAAACGTTCATTTGTGTTCATCTATTTATGTTTATGTTAAATTGCACTTTTTCGAGAATTCCCAGTTAGTACAATGATCAGAATATGCCTAATTGTCACTTTGGCCTCGTGATGGGGCCTGAAATTGAACGGTTGGATATACATTCAAATTCTGGAGCTTTTGAAGAATAAATAAAAAGGTCTAAGGTCTTGAGATTGACAAGGAAAGATGTTAGGGATGGCAAATTTTTAGCTCAGTTCCTAACCTTTATCGGAAGAGATGTCTACAGAATACTAATAACTAGCAATATCAGATAGGCCAATTACACTTCCCTAAGCATTTCTGAAGGAACAACCTATAAATCATGTGAAGTGTGCTTAGTTCGATCGCCATTAGAGACCAAAATTTAATAAAATGACTCGCCAGAACATCACGACTTTTACTATATCACTTAGTTATTACAATCCGATGAGTGCTCAATGTCACGCAGATAAAAATTCATTGAGCAGTTGGGAGGCAGGTTACAGAAGTGAGCATAGGTTTGGTAAATGCTTACCCCGTGTTAATTTTTATTTAAGTAATTTATGCGTATTTTATCACATTAAGTGCCTTAAATACGGTTAAACTGGACATCGTTTATCTTTACAAACGGCTTTGGAAAGTAACGTTCATGTTCGGAAGCAATTATATGCCTACCTTGATTCATGAAGGAATAGTTAAACTATGACTACTCAGTCTAATTCTCTTTTATTAAGGTATTTATTCGGCAAGAGAATTCTATCAGGTTAAAGAAAATAAGTGTAAACAAGTGATCAGTGGATAAATAACTAACAAATTGAGGTGGTTCAGAAGGAAGCTGAGAGTATGGCATTATGTGTAGTTATAAGATACAGTCATAAAATATAGTGCTGAAAACAGTATTCTGATACACATATGGCCGTCCCCCTTTTTTGTCGAAGCTATTTGGTCCCATGTTTTTTGTAGATTTTATAGGGTCTTTAGTAGGCTTCGTTTCTAGCGAATTTTCTAGTTTGCTTGTTATAGATTACTGGATAGGAAGTGAAATCAATTCGAAGTTCTAAACACGATTTCATGAGGTATTTTTGTGGTGTTTGAATTAACTAATGATTCTGTTGTACTTGTTGAATGCTCGATTTCGAATTCTAAATACAGTAAATTCGTTGTGCCTGTGTCTTCTTAATCCAATTGCGTTAATCCTGGAATTCCTAATTCATACGACAATTAGAATACTATATTGGCGTCGTGATGGAACCTGCAATGGAAAAGTTGGATATTCATTCAACTCCTGAAGCTTTTGAGGATTATTTGGAAAGGTTCGAAATTTGGAGCATGACCAAAGAAGATGATGAGGATGTTAATATTGTGGCACACTTCCTCACATTCATTGGGAGAGAAGCGTACAGCTTATTAAAAACTTTAGCATATCCAGAAAAACCTATTTCACTCCCTTATGCAACTCTTAAAGAGCTATTATTAAGTCATGTAAAATGCACCAGTTTTGAATGCCGTGAAAGGGCGAAGTTTCATAAGATGATTCGTCAAAATGACCAAAAGGCTCGGGAATTCATCTTCGAATTACAGAAACAAGCTGCCAAGTGTAATTTCGGTGATCAACTTCATGTGCAACTGAGAGATCGATTAATTGCAGGAATTAACATACCGAGTTTGGAAAGAGAGCTGTTAAAAATGCCAAACTGTTCTTTTCAAGATGCTAGGACTGCGTGTATTAACTACGAAGCAGTGCATGAACTTGATATCCAGTCGATGAAGATTTCTGTTACTTTGCTTAGTTGTCATGATGAACTACAATCTCAGGGTCAATCAAATTTGCGTTCATTTAACAGTGATTCCTATTCTCGTGTAAATACGAAAGGTGTTTCAACGAGGGATTACAAAGCAAATCACAAAGGTGAGATGAAGTTTGGTAAATGTTTATCATGTGGAAAGTTTCATGCTCGCAGTTCATGTGTATTTCGTAATGCTAAATGTTTTAAATGTGGTAAGGTAGGACACATTCAGTCAGTATGCAAAGCTACTGTCCATTTTGCTTCGAGCTGTACTAAATCTTGTAATTTAAATTTAAATAATTCGGATGTTTCTAATGATCATTTATCTTTATCAACGATTTCAAAAGACAGTGCAGAGTCATATGGCAGTTCAGAGTTAGATGAAATCCAGAATTCTTGTGAGACAACAGTTCCTAATCAACCGATTTTTCAGAATTCTCATGCTATTGTACCAGGTATGACTTTTCCTAATGATTCACATATTTCTAATGAAATTACTTGCAATTCTGAGGAAAATATGTTAAATGAACCTAGTCATGATCGGAAACCTGATGTGGTTTGGATAGATGCTGATTTTTCTAACGATCCTACGCTCTGCACTGACAGTCCTAATGAATTCCGTGAGAATATTTCAGAAGAATCAAATGCTGATGTCATATCATATATTACCTATCCTCATAATGTATTTGATCCTTGCGGAAAACCTGCTCAATGCGAAGCACGAGTACTAAGTGATCTCGAGTTTGATTACATTTCGGATGATTTCATATCAACTGCTGTTTACCCTTATCACAAAAACAGTTCTAATGTTTACTCTAAACAATGTGAGAAATATGTTTTAAATGAAGCCACATTATTCATAACTTGGGGATATAAAGATTCAACATTATTTTGTGGGGGAGGATAGTGTTGAAAAATCTATGGTTCAAATTCTAGATATTATTGATTTCATTACAAAACCGGCATGCTGGTTGTATACAATCCCAGGTGAGTCTGTTCCGATTTCGTTAGTTAATTCCAATACTAATGAGCACTTTCTAGATACTACAAAGTTTTTGTCTTATACAATGTAGGACAGACTCAGGATGAACTTAACAAGAAGACGTACAACCGATTACAAACACTTGTACTTCTATTTAAGCTGTGGCAGATGTGGTGTTTGAATTAACTAATGATTCTGTTGTACTTGTTGAATGCTCGATTTCGAATTCTAAATACAGTAAATTCGTTGTGCCTGTGTCTTTTTAATGCAATTGCGTTAATCCTCGAATTCCTAATTCATACGACAATTAGAATACTATAATTTTGCATGATAAGTCGACATCAATACCATTAGTTTATGACATTCCGCTAGGCAATATGGGGCCGTAATTAAACAAAATGTTCTGCCTCACAGACAAGGGTGGATTGAAGTTATCTATCCACTATCATGTTTGCTGATCAGTAACGCCACCGTCCCTCCTTTTGTGATGTTAGGCTCTCTTACGTTTGTGGTAAGTATGAATACTGCTCTAATCAAAGCCCATAGTTGTAATACACTGTCTCTACTAGTTCCATGTTACAAGCAAATCAGTTAGTTAAAAAAATTGTATTATAGGTTAGATGTCCATTTAGTATGTCATACTGCTAATGGTGAAAGTTAAGAAAACAGGTTAGATTATATGTGGTTTTTTCGTGTCTTTAGGTAACCCTAGTGCTATTGATAGAAGAAACCAGAGAAGTAGTGAATAGGTCTTTATTTCGATCTTCGCGCAGTCACAGTGGAGTGTGTGATTATCTGTTCAGACAAACAAAGGCTCTCAACATTCAATATAAGATAACAGGGAATATAACGCTTATAAAAAATAAGGAAGTGAATGAATACTTGAACAATACCGTTTTAGCATATGCTTGGTTGTTTGGGGTCAACTCTTAACCAAACAACCTGAGCCGTTATAGTTTAATGATGGTAAGGACTAATAGCAAATCAAAGGATATGAAAGAGTATATAATTCTCGAATTTTTAATGTAAAAAAAATCGAACACTGAGCAACTCACAAGACTTTAGGACATTTTGAGCTTCTTATGGTCGGCCTCAGTTGATTAGCATCCATAAGATTGGTGAGTTATCTGTCTACTTGCAATAAAAATAAAAGGACATGACACTTAGGAAGAATAATGTTTCTTTAAGCATTAGAAGGATTTGGGAACTGAAAGTGAGGGTCAGGGGCATAAGGCCATGATTAGTAATCAGTAAATAGTAGGAGGGGTTAAACCATATGTTCTGTAATCCAGTTATATTCATATTAATAACAATGGGGCTCATTAAATTCTTGTTCCGTCCAGATATTATGCAGTCCATAGTACTGTGCCGCATTGGTGGGCGGGAGTTCAAACAGTAGTTGAAGCTCTTTGGAGTCAAGAAACAGGATTAATAGACTCTTGAACTTAGTAAAAGTGTCATAGTTACAGATAGGTATTGGCAACCTGTTCCACAATAATCTATGCTGCACTGTAGAAAGCCTGCAACGCATTTGTTTTTGGTGTTTCATGGTAAGTAGTGTACATGTATCGTTTATTAGTCTATAGGCTGAGTCATGGATCATAGTTGAGCAGGCGTACGGTGCCATAATAGTTCTGAAGAGAGGTTCTTACATCTATCTGTGTAATCGACATTGGAGTTACTTCCTAGCAGTTGGCATGTGAAGCGTCTATGATCATTTACTCTTGTCTGTGGTACTCATATTAGAGAACATAAAAGAGCAATATTCAAGGAAAGGTCATACACATCTACAGGTAGGGGTCGTTCAATAGTGCCGAAACATTATCGACGCAATGTCTTCAATACGTTGCACAAACTTTCTCATCCAGGTGTTCGTGCAACCATCAAGCTCACAGCAGAACGATTTCGCTGGCCTGGTATGAGCAAAGACGTAAGGGAATGAGCACGCTCCTGTATAAGCTGCCAGAAATCTAAGGTGATTAGACACAACAAATTTCCCTTAGGCTCCTTCAAAACTACAGACGCTCGTTTCGACCACGTTCATCTGTATTTGGTAGGACCTTTACCAGATTCAAATGGGTACTCTTATCTCTTAACCTGCGTAGACCGTTTCACTCGATGGCCAGAAGCAGTGCCTACCAAGGACATTACTGCTGAAACAGTGGCCCACACCCTCGTCAAACGATGGGTAGCAAACTTCGGCTGCCCTTCAACCATCACTACAGATCGTAGAAACCAGTTCGAATCTGGAATTTTCCATTGTCTGACCACACTATTAGGAATCACTCGCTTCTGAACGGCCGATTACCATCCACAAGCAAATGCGTCAGTAGAACGCTTCACCATCAGCCGCAAACGTTTCACAGTGGACGAACCCTCTTCCGCTCGTCATACTTAGCATTCGCAATGCAATGAAGGCTGACATTGGATACACTGCGGCTCAACTCATTTATGGAATAACACCTCAACTTCCAGGAAAATTCGAGGATCCCTCAGTTTCAGTGAATGTAGATCCAACCTGTTACACGAGCAGGCTTACAAACGAAATGCGTTCAATTAAACTTGTTTCCATCCGACGGCAGTCAACTGGTGTTTTCGTTCAACCTGACTTACTATGTGGTACACACGTCTTCGTACGACGAGACTCACATCGACGATCTCTCGAAACAACATACGAAGGACCATTCAAAGTTCTTCAGCACGAACCTAAGAACGGAACTGACGATAGAATTAACATCGAGCGCATCAAAGCAGTACATCCAGAAGGGAACCCTATCCATGTAGATTTTCTCTAGGTACAACCGAAAGACACGACTTCTACACTTATAATACCTCGTCCGACAGCCAACAAGCACGATGGTAATTTGACAGTATCTGAAACTAAACTCAAGACAACGCGCTCTGGAAGAACAGTGAGGTTTTCAGAACATTGAAACGATTATTGCACGTAAGACCCTAGTTAACATTTTGTTACATCTCGACTTTTCTTCGTATCATATACAACATAAAAAAGGATTTTAATATGCTCCTATTTATATATCTATTTAAAAATGTTTTATTTTGGAAAATATGCTCACTAATATGTGTATATTAAGTTGTTATTAAAAAAAAACAGGAAAAACTACTTTTTAAAAATCCTTTATTTCTTTTCCAGGACGGCTGGAAATGACGGAAAAAGAACGACGAAGTAACGATGAACCAAAATCTTCATTGTACCTGTTTCTCTATTATTATATTGTACCACATGTCCTCTTACCGTAAGGAAAGACAACCAAACTGTGCTGAAAATGGCAAGCTATCAGAAGAGTGTTTAGCAACGACAAGCTCGTTAGGTTTAAACTTCTGGCTGGCAAACTCGAAGAGTCATCACCCCCCATAGTTGGGTAGTGATCTGTAGCAGTAAATAAAACCACAAAATAAATAGCTCTGTAAGTTTTCAACATTGGATGCTGACTACATTAGTCTCAATGGACTCACCTAGCTGAAGGCGCTCGGTCAAACATCCACACCTGATCACGAGTGAGAACGCCGTGCTCAACATCCCCTGCAATCGCTAGCCAGATTAGATCAGCCGGTCCTCGATATATTGATAGCCTATCAAATATGCCTTCGAACCTCCTCACTTCTGACTTTTGATTTCACTTGGTGGGTACGATTCACAATTAAGAGTGTTACTGGATGAATTGATGTCGAACTCCGAATACCTGTGGTATTTTTACGTACATATCTGCAACCGAACAAATATTTACCCCTTCTCGTTACCACTGTTTCTTCAGTCACTCTGCTATTAATAATTAATAAACGAAAATAACTACAAGAAAATTGTAGTATCAGAGTCGTCAGATGTATGGTCGATCCTAGTAGAAGAACCCACTCAAGGTGTACCAATGCATAAAATTGCCAACAATATACCGAAAAGAATACTAACACTATAAACAGCAGCGATTGTTTATGGATAAAACAAAACAGTAACACATAGCACTCACAACAGAGTTGTATAATAAAAAGTGATATCAACTACAAACGAGTTTACTTAATTAACAAACGTTCCTCTGCACATGGTGGCACCGATGGCGTGATGCGAAAGAGAAATCCGATGACGCTGTAGCGGTAAATAAATCCACAAAATAAATAGCCCTATGTTTTCGACATTAGATGCTGACCATATGTTTTAGTGGACTCATCTAGCTGAAGGCGCTCGGTCAGGCATCCGCACCAGATCACGTGTGGTAACGCCGTGCTCAACATCAACCGCAATCGCTAGCCAGATTAGATCAGAGAATTCCGATATATTGGTCATCGCCAAATATACTCTTCCGATCTCCTCGACTCTGTCTTTTGATTTCTCTGGGTGGGAACGAAATACATTAGAAGGTGTTACTGGTAGAAGCGTTGTCAAACAAATGTAGTCCAGTAGTCGAGACTCTCGAGGTGAGTATTTGTCTGACGATCAACACTGAATACCCGTGACATCATCAACGCCATTGAATAATAATCGGTGCCGAAACTCCAACGTAGTACATAACCGGCGTTATAACACCAAACGTAGGAAATGACGAACACAGTCGAATGAAACTGTGTTTAATCACTCGGGTGGACAGGTCAATGTGTACTTCCACACTGTCATGGCAGTATTCCGTTTTAGAGAGTTGAAATTTTAATATTGGGCAGACCTTCCAATTGAGTATGAGGAGGCCAAAGGTATTTGGAGTTTGACAACGCTTTAACCAGTAATACCTTCTAATATGAAGCGTACCCATCAAGTGAAGTCAAAAGTCAGAAGTGAGGAGGTTCGAAGGCATATTTGATAGGCTATCAATATATCGAGGACCGGCTGATCTAATCTGGCTAGCGATTGCAGGGGATGTTGAGCACGGCGTTCTCACTCGTGATCAGGTGTGGATGTTTGACCGAGCGCCTTCAGCTAGGTGAGTCCATTGAGACTAATGTAGTCAGCATCCAATGTTGAAAACTTACAGAGCTATTTATTTTGTGGATTTATTTACCGCTACAGATCACTCCTCGCCTATTGTGATGACTAGTGTTATGACTTACTAATTTCGACTACTTATAATTGCATAGAATATTTTGTAAATTATGCGGCTTGTGTTTAGTCT